GTGAGAGTCCTTCTAAACTGACAGCCCATGAAAGGGTAATCCCCCTTGAGGGTCCTCCTCAAACTGATGCTGTTTGCATCATCACGACCCTGCTATTTGAATAGGACTAAAATGGTTTCCATGTTGCACCCAGTAAATTAAGTAGAATTTCCCACTTCAGTGTCTTTTCAGATGAGATGTTCTGAGCCTGCAGACATGCTATCTGCAAAATCTCGGTCCACGTGCTTTATTATTTAAACTGCCAACAAAAACATCTCACTAGATCACACTTACTGGGACCCTGTGAGGGCTGTGAGATTAAATCACTGGCCAGAGAGTAGGAATCAGTAGCCCCAGAGGGATTCAGAGCAGTAAGGACAAAAGCTTCTTGGTGGAAAGTTGTTCCCAGGAGCATGGAATCCTGTCCCCAGGAAAGAGGACTTGTGTTACCACAGGGCTTCCCGTTCCCAGTGCTAGCCTGATTTATTCCAGGCAAGTGTCAATTCCAAGGTGGGCATAAAATCAGTCTTTTGTACATAAGTCTTGTACTCCATATGAGGTGGTGGGATGGTTTCGCAGATCTGTCACCTACAGAAAGTAAGCAAGGTGGTGGCAACTCCAGTAAATTTTCTCACATGGGTCTTGAGTCTATTTTGGTGGAAGTCAAGAGCAAAAATCAATTTGGTCTTAGTGACGAGATCACCATTTTTATCAGGCAGATCTATTTTTACCCTTGATGAACAATTTGCCACCTTTCTATTTTTTGCTCCCACTGGCACTGGGCAGCCCTGGGCTGCTCTTCTCACCAGCGCAGAGGTGTTCAGCTCACTGCTGCACTGCCAGCTTCATCTGGAAGGAGTATTTCCTATTTATGTTTCTCTTTTATTTATTTATTCATTTATTTATTTTTTTTTTTTCCCTGAAGCCAGAAGGTTTCGTTTGAGCAAAGCAAATCCCTTGAAAATCCTGTATAATTATCTACATGATCATCTTAAATGTCTGCCCTGGCTCTGCAGTGAGCTCAGGGGTGCGGACAGGCAACCCATGGCATATTTGACACCCACAGGTTTTCCTGCAGAGAGGAGGAATAAGGTTTTGAAGGCTGCTTTCCTCTGGCAGGACAGAACAGGCCATCATCCTCTCTGTCTGGAGGAATGTGTGTGCATGGAAGGGGAGAGCCCTGAATGAATGATGGATGAATTTTGCACAGGATGCAGATGCCTCTGAGCACCCCATCCTGCGCAGCTAACTGCAGGATTGAAGCTGAAGTCAACATCAAGTTGTGCCTTTGGCCAACACAGAGGAAACTTGGAAACTCTGCAGCTAAAACTGTGAGTGGCTTTAAAGGAGCCCCAAGTTCTCCAGGCCGTGTGGTTGCTCTGGGGATGGTTTGCAAAAGGCAGCCAGCAACATAGAATCACAGAATGGTTTGGGTTGGAAGGGACCTTAAAGGTCATCTAGATCCAGCCCCGTGCATTGGCAGGGACACCTCCCACTAGATCAGGTTGCTCAGAGCTCCATCCAGCTCGACCTTGAATACTTCCCAGGAATGAATACTTCCAGAAACATGTCTACTCAATGTCAAAATGAACCAGCTAAAAGCAAAACTCCTTAAATTATGAGGCCAAAATGGGCCTCAAAGGGTGATGTAGTCTGGTCATCTCTAGAGCTTGAATGGTTTTGTACCCTGTGTGGTTACTAGTAGCCATACCAATGTTTGCTGTTGAAGCAATGATAAAGGTATCTTTGTAATAACATGCTGGATTTTACCCATTATATGACTTCTTACTGTGCTTTGAGACAGAAAATTATACAGAAGGGGAAAAAGTAAAAGAGATTGAAAAGGAGAGATCTTCTCTCTCACACAGCCCAAGAGAGATTGGCTCTAATAATTGCTCCTGGCAGGTATTTGTCTAAGCCATGTCAGAAATCACGAGTGATGCAGACTCCAGTCAACTAAGACAGTGTCCGCCAGTGCTTTGGTATTCTTGATCCTTATTAGGATAAACACTAACCTAAACCTACCCCAGTGTGATTCACATCCATTACTCCACCATGGACAAGGGAAATAGACTGGGTTTTTTCCTCCTGGTAACTGTGGGGCATTTTTAAGTACACTCACACCCCACCTGCAAAGCTTTCTTCATTTTAGACTAGCAGGCCCTAATTTATTGAGTGTTTCCTAATAAGTCACGTCTTCTACACTGGTAGTCATGTCAGAGCTCTACTGCAACTGGGCAGTTTTGCTGCAGAAGCTGCAGAGATACTTCAGATGCCTGGTAGGCTCTGTCCCACTTGACACATCCTGGGACAATAATCCTTCCCCCCCTCCAACAGCCAGACTTTACTGAAAGGAATGATTCATAAAACTCTGCATCTCTTCCTGAAGATTTGCCTCCTAGGCAGCCCTATCTAGGTGTGATTTTCCTCTTGTAGTATTCTGTACTTGTCCTTGCTGAACTTTATCCTAGTTTTTTAGACAATTTAAAAAAAAATATTTTTTTCCAAGATTATTTTAGATGCTAATCCTGCTCTCCTGTGTGTCTGTAGTCACTCCCAGCTTCATGTAATCTGCAGATTTAATAAGTGTGCTCTCTTCCATCGTCTAGGTCACTAATGAATGTGCTGAGCAGAACTAGACTATAGATCCAGCAGAGCTCTGCTCATGGTGTCCCTCTGTTTTCACAGAGTTAATAACTACTCCCTGGGTATTGCTTTATAGTAGTCTCATTTAATCATGTTTCCCTAGCTTATTTATGAGAAAGTTGTGTGAGATGGTGTCTAAAGCTATAATAAAGCCCAGAAAAATGAATCCAACAACTTCTACATTATGAAAATAAATTGATTTGATTTTTTTCCTTGTCTTCTCCATATCTGCTGCTGTTTATATTTTTGTTATCTTCCAAATACCTATAAACTGTTTATTTGTTTTAGAGTTTTTCAAATTATTTAACCTAGACTAACTCAAGTAGCATCCTTTTGCTGCTTTTCTTTCTGCCCTTGAAGCTAGGCACTATACTTGCCTTTGTCCTGACTTCTGGCACCTTACCTGTCTGAGCTCTCGTAGGTGACCAGGAGGGAGGTATCTGAGATGGCTTCGGCTGGTTTTGTAGGGAATGTAAAAGGTAATTTGTCTCACCCTGCTGGTCTGTAAGTGCCCAACTTGGGTAGAGGACTTATATCGCCCTGAAAAGAGCAGAGAAGAGGATAGTATACCTTTGTAGTCATAATGTGTCATTGTATTAACTGTACTAATCCCCTGTGCATAGTAGGCCAGTGTTGCATCTTCCAGTGTCATTTTGCAATAACTTCCTCTATATCTGAGCAACACTTTTCCAGACTGTCTTATTGGTATTAATATATATATATAAGGTATTTTTAATTTTTTTTCTACTGCAAATTTAATTCTTAAGCCATGATGTTTTGAATATTCTACCTCTGTGTTCATAGTATTTTTATATCTCATGCTCAGTCACCTTTTAGTGTTCTTTCTTCTTGTCTTTGAGGTAAATTAAAAGCTCATGATGCTGCCAAGTCTTCTTCTGATCCTTCTTCTGCATTCAGATGTTATTGTACCTCTGCCTTTTAAGCACAAAATATTCTTTCTTCAGGAAAGTACAGTTCACTTTTATTTCATTTTCCTTTAAAATCTTCTCCATTAATTCTCACCTAGCAGTTCTTTTTCATGTGCTGAAGGTAGGCATTTCTGTTTTGCTGCCAGCAATCCCTTGTGTATGGCAGATCTCATCCTTTCACAGGCATTCTGACATGATTTTCCTTCCACCTTCTTACCCCCAACACATCCATCTCTGGAGGCTCTTCCCTACTGATTACTTGACCTATCAGTTATGCGAGAATATTGCTCCAAAAGAACCAGAACTCTGTCTCCTGCTGCTCTTCTTTCCTAGCAGATATCTCGTGCTTGTACTCTGCCATTACCATTGAGTCAATTGTTACCAGGTAGCCGGATCTATTTAATTTTCTTGGTTTGGGGTTTGTTGTACCCTCCCCTGTGTTGTTGTTGTGGGTTTTTCTTCCCTCTTTTTAATTTCCCCTTCTGCCTTATATTATTACAAATAGAATTTACCAGTTCTTCCTACCTCTGTGTTCTGGACCTCACAGCAAGTAAGTGCATCATCCTTGGTATATCAAGAGATGTTGCCTCTACTTTTTCTCTGCCTTTCCATATATAAGCTATGCATCTTTATATCAGAATTCCAGATATATGTCTTATTACAGTAAGTCCTATTTATATCAGTTAAATCAGCACTGTTGTCATACGTTAAGCCCGAGATCTTAAATAAGGGGAAGAGGGGCAGAACTGCCTTCAGCAGGGACATAAGTCACCTTCAGTCGCTGGTGAGACCAGCCCCTCAGTGGTCCTCGGCGTGGGTTTGGTTGGAGTGTATCCTTCGCTTCGGTGACGGGCCTGGAGCTGTGGCAGGAGCATCCCCACGGCTCATCAATTCCCCCTTTCACCAGGAAGGTCAGGAGCTTATCGTGACCTTTTATTCCCTTGCTGAGAAGAGCAGCTGGTGCCCTCAAGTGGTAAATTGCAGGAGAAGAGCTGCTCTGGCCGTGCAAGCCCAGATTTGAGCTGCTGTCCTGGTTGGGATGCTGGGCTGGGGCTCTTGGGCACCCGCGCTGCTTCTGGCACTTCTAACCATGCTGTTTCCCCCTTGCAGGACAAGACGGTGTGGTGACCGTAGTGGGAAGGAGACGTTGTTCCCAGTGGAGTGGTGACCCCAACAGCTGGGCTACCCAGACAGCCAGAGACACTTGCCCACACTTCATCCAGCTGTGGCGTGTCCGCACCGAGCGCCCTGCCTGGGCCGTGCTGCCGGCTGGTTGGAGCTGCGACAAATGTCCACGTGAGGTTAGATGGGGCTTGCTTGGGATCTGCAGTCCCACTCCAGCATGGCCCCAGGGGCTGAAAGGGACCGTGGTGGGCAGCAGAGCCTAGGTCCAGAGAGCCGACCGGTGCCGGGGCTGCTGCCGTGAGGGAATGCTCGGGAGCGGCGATGCCCATCACGCAGGACAACGCAGGGGTCTTCCTCCCCCTCCTGTGCCAGTGGCTGCAGAACAGCCGTCGGGAGGGGGATGAGGGTGCCGAGCAGCAGCTCTGCCGCTCAGCTGTCCAGAAGCTGAGTGAGTACATCCAGCTCAACTTTTCTGTGGACGAGAGCAAACTGCAGCCAGGGAGCTGCGGGACTTTGGATATGGAGATCTGCACCATGTATCTGGCCCAGGAGATGAGAAAAACTGAGGTTCTGGGGTTGAGCTTTGGGAACATCCCAGCTCTGGGGGAGTATGGGGAGAAGCGTCGGGGAGGGAAGAAGAGGAAGGGGCATAAAGGGCCAGTGCTCGACGTTGGGTGCATCTGGGTGACAGACTTGAAGAAAAACAGCCCGGCCGGGAAGTGCGGGAGAGTGCGGCTGAAAGACGAGATCCTCTCCTTGAACGGGCAGTTGATGGTCGGTGTGGATGTCACTGGTGCCAGGTAAGGGTGGGACAGCAGCTGCTGGTGGCCATCACTTGCAGCACATGGTGCAGGTCACGGTCGGTTCTGATTCATGCCCAACAGCAAAGATTTTGACCTCTGCTTTCTATTCCCTGGGAGAGCTCTTGGTTCCTTCTTAAGGTCTGTAGAAAATAAGTAATGAAAGCAAACTCATAATTGGCCTACATTTGCTGCTTTGCATATGCACTGGAAAATTTTGAGGAGTCACTGTGGTCAAAAAATAGTACATTGCAAGCACTGCAGGGTCTCCACTAAAGCAGGAGTCTTCCTGGGTTTGGGTAAAACTGTATTCTTAAGTAAAAATCAATACAGACTCAGCAGGACTGGAAGATATTTTTTTTTACAGTTGCATCTTATTTTTGTTGAATAATTTTTTTGACAGCTAAGTGATGTCTCAGACTTTTTCAAAGCAAAATATTTTTGTGTTTTCGAGACTGGAACAACTTGATTTTAATAAATTCCCTTTGATTTTATTGCATTTTCTCTTTTTTTGGTGTCTCCTGTTCCAGAAAACTTGAAACCTTTAAGAGTTCAAATGAGAAATTAAGGTTCTTGCAATGATTCAAGTTGGTTTTGCTTTTTAAATTCTCTAGACCTAGGCTCTGCTGCATGCTGTAAAATCAGTTATTGGCCTGGCTTTGCTCTTTGTGGGCCAGCAGACTTGCTCACGTTTCCCTTTGCAAAGGCCAAGACCTTTCTCTGCTAAAGATGAGGATGCAAATGTTCACTCATGCCTGAGGTTGCAGCATACCAGAGGGCATGAAATCCTCCCTTTCTTGCCAAAGGGTGTTAATCTTAGGGCGGACAGTTTTGTGAACAACACTAGTGAGTGGACCTTCTTTAAAAGGAAACAGTTGATCTGCAGCCTAGGTAATCCAACATGTTGTATGGGCCTTGGGAGTAATGTGCTGTATTAGACCAGCTGAGAAAGTGCTTCAGCAAGTGAGATTTGCATCTGGGGCAAATAACAAATTTTACCTGAAATAAGTTTCATGCTGAAAAAACCCCCAAACACTTGGATCTTCCCACTGATGGGAGGTTATTTGTCTGCTACTTTCACTGTCAGGCTTGCACAGCCACCAAGGCCTCAGGGGGGGTGACACCTGCAAGTTATAATCCTACAAAATGCATGGCCTTTGCTCCCAACAGGCAGTGGATACAGCAGTGGTTTGGGGTGACCATGGTTCCCAATTGTGCTACGAGGCAGAATAAAAGCAGTGACTTCTCAATCTGTGGGTGCTGGGCCAGTCAACCTGACTGTGGTAGGTGCAGTAACAACCCCCTCTGTAATTTCAAGCCTATAATTCCATTAATGTATAAATATTAGTAATACGGCAGTATCAGTCAGTGGCACCCCCAGATTTGAGAGGTTTTGTGGCAATAAACCAGTTAATTGGCTGTTTTCCTTTTGCTAGATGTCACTGTTCCTAAAAACCAAAGGAACTGCTGCAGTGGCCAGCAATAATGTTCTCATATTATTAATGCAAAATGAAAGGTAAGGCCCAATGGAATCCAAAATGTCTGGATACCTGTTCTTTTCATCTGATATCTGAAGGCTTCATTTGGGACTTACTCCTTTTGGAAAGCTCTGTTATTAGACCAGCAAGCTGTAACTGCTGCTAATGAGAACCAAGTGCTCCATTTTCCTTAGCTGAGATTTTTTATTTTGGCCAACCCTATGTTACCACCTTTTTCATCTGATGTGCTCCAGGATGCTTTGGAAGTCCTTCAGTAGGTTTCTCCATCAGGGTGTTCAGACGGGACATAATTCTGTCTAGGTTTATAATAGACTTGAAAGACCATGTCAACTTGCCTTCTGGGAAGGCCTTCAAAGAAGCTTTCCTAAAGTATATCCATATTTCTGCAACTGTGGCAGTAGCAGAGCCCTTTCCCCTTGGCTCTTCGAGGATTTGGTGCAACACACAACAGTGATCAGTGATTCTGGCTTGACTTCTGTCTGCCTATTCTCTGTCTGGGTGAGAAACTCTCCAGGTCAACACAAATGGATGTGAGTGCTGTGATTTGCAGTGTGATATAGCCTGCACGTATTGAGTAAAATCAAAATGCTGCCTTAGCTCCTCTAGTACCAGGCTGGCTTCGACAGACAAAATCACTGCTTGTGTGCTTATTACTTGCCTGCCAAGTGTGCCAGGACAGCCTCATCTTGCCTAGTGAATGTGATGTGTTGTCCACACTGGTGTTTTAAGGAATCTCCTGATTTATGTCCATAACAGTGGGGAATTTGGCATGAGGGTTTCAAGACTTGGCCACTTTTCTGGGGGTTACCACCTCTGCAGGAAGACTGGCAGAAGTGTGCTCACATACACTGGGCTTCGTGCCACCTCACCTTGGGCTCCATCCCACCATGCAGACCCTCCCTGTTCCAAGGGGCTAAGCCAATGCACTGGACAATGGGAGAGGAGAGGTAGGGACACGCAGTCCCTTTTGCTGGCTGTCCTACGGATGTGGTCATCCTCTGGAGGACACAGGGCAGACAGCTGGAGCTGTAACAGATTGAGCAGACCTGGAGAGATGGTGTTCTTTTGTCACCTGGTCCTGTGCCTGCAGGTCCTCAGGTCTCAGAGCAGTGATGGGGTCAAACACAGTGTAGAGGAGCAGCACAATGCCTCTCGGAGGAGCTGCCAGTGTGTTTCACTCATCTGTCTCTCCCTGCTAGGCAAGCTGAATCTGACTTCTTTGAAGAAATGTTTATTCAAATTCCACGTGATTAGCACGTAAACAGTAGAAACAGGTTGATTATTGCTGATCTTGTTTCTCTCTTCCCCCCTCTCTTCATTTAGAGAAACATTATGCAGTAACATAATCATCAAAGCTCTTTGCTTAACAGGGTATTATTACATTAGAGGCAAATGATGTAGGTGGTGGCATTTTGGGTGATGTTAGTGACTGAGGGAAAATTATTGCTCTCTTCAGAGTTAGCAAATTGTGTGTGTCTATCAAATACAATTGCAGGGAAATGAGCTGTATTGGAATACTGAATAAAGGTTAGTCAAAACTCTGCATGTTTATTTATCTTCTGTCTATACAACTATATCTCTGAAACACATGGGTTATGTTCCCCCAGACAACAACTTCCAATGTATTTTGGAACTACTTCCCTCGTTTTGGGATATTACTCATTTACTGGAGGCTGTTAGTATTCCTGCAGATGACAGATGAATCCTTCATTTCTTGAGCATGACTGAATGGGGCTTCATTGGGAAAGTCCTGGGAGGGCTGCAAAATAATTATTGTGTCATGAGTATAATTCAGTTTGAAATATTTGATTACAAATTTTATCAAGCAGAGTTGCAGTACTTGAACACAGCTACCATATACATGCAGTTTTTTAAATCAATGCTGACTAGATTTTTCAATTCAAACTGGTTTTGAAGAAAGCGGAGTAAGATACATTGCAAGTAATGACAGTGTGGTATGAACATCAGATATGTGGAAACCCAACCACTGCTTCATGTTCCTCACTGCCAAAAATGACCAAAATGTGTGGGAATATAGTCAGAGAACTGGCTGGCTTATTTTTAACCCACAACCTGGAGCTGCTTCCAAAAAAATGAACAGAGGAGTGTTTTGACAGCCATACCTTTGCATAGTGTTTTCCTAGTCTCTCCTCTTCAGTCAGTGTCCTGGTGGATTGCTGGGATCTTCCCCAGCAGATGATATGGCATGCCAAATGTCACGGAAATCAGTTTATCCTCAAAGATGCTGAGAAAGACCTTCAGAAATCAGATGTGCAATGGAGAGTGAGCTTCAGGTTCCACTACTGAAGGCAATGCTTTGACATTACCTGAAGTTGGGGTTTTCCAGCAGTACCAAGATCTTTTCTGAGTGCTTGCTGCTACTGCACGTCACATCTACATGCTCCAGGATAGCTGGAAGTATGGAGGTAAAGTCCTGATCCTCCTAACAGGTCAATGCTATTAGTAGTTGTGTGATATATGGACATTCTAAACACAGCTGTGCTTCTCTGTAAGTGCTAGCAGCAGATTACAGAGCACAATACTGAATGTCTAACCAAATTACAGATCTCAAAATGTGTAAAGCACTTTGTGCTTCTTGCCTGCAGCAGTCAATAACAGTCCTGGGCTCAGCTGGATGAAATCGTGAGTTTCTGTATCAAAACAATCCTTACTAGTACTGGAAAGCCAGTATGTAGTCCCTGGTTGTGTTTGGAGCCTGAATTCTGCTCTGAATGGTAGTCTTCAGGAGGTGCTTTTCTTCTTTGCCTCCTTCTTGGGACCCTGTATGTGGGGAGATCCAGAGTGGTACCTCTGCTGAGGGGATGGGTATGGGGAGCATGGACCTTTGCTGTGTCTGAGTTGATCTGCTCAAAAATCTGACAGTGTGGTTTGAAAACTGATTTTTCAGAGAAGCACACCTTTCGAGGCACTTTTACTGAGCTCCTCCTTCCTTAGAAGCCTGAAATGAATTTTTATTTATTTATTTTTTTAATCATAAACTGCCTTACCCCCTCCAATAGACATATTTTATTGTTGGAAAGAACGACCTCCCCGCCACCCCCAGTGCGGTCCCTCCTTGATGTCAAAGTGCAATGCTCCAGTTGTGCATTTTCCATGGGGCACAGCTTCCTGCCACGGTGTGGTGAGGCACCGTCGCTGCAGGAGGACACTGCATCCCTAGAGCATCCACATGATTTTGGAGCACCGTGTTACTCAGTGGTGGGTTCAAAACGCTTCCAGGTGCTCTAACTGGCATGTGGGGGTGGCTCCCCAGTAGGGAGCAAGGGCTGTGCTCCCTGAGCTCATCAGCTGGGGTTGTCAGTTTCAAGTTTTTGGGTAACAAATCCATTCTTTAGTAGGGTCAGGTGCTAGGGTAAATTCCTGTGCTGTGGTGGAAAGGGAGGTTTTCAGGTTTCTGTCTTGTATTTCTCTGGAAGTTGTTCTGGATTTGTTTTCTGCCTGGCAGAGCAATCTCCTTTATGCATACTTTTTCTTAGGGAA